TAATGGAAATTATGTTTGAAACAATGTGTTTACAAGGAAAGATATAAATGTAAATTATAGCATGGAGGGAGGAACATGTGGCTCTCTAGAAGTTGTTGAACTCCAGTCTGCCTAGGTGAGGATTAAAGATGGAAATAATACTTACCAGATTTCTTGTCCAGGTTGATTTAGGCACTTTTGGCATGAGAAGACACATAACTGAGGAATTTTAAATCCTTGTGAGATCCCTTAGCACCTGCTGAGTGCAAGAAAAATCACATGGCTAAGCACACAACCACCACCTTGTTGATTAACTTAAACTAGTTGTTGTGTCTTCTGCATTTTTCCTTATGTGCACGTATAAAACTCACAGGATTCTGGCAATGACTCTTCAGTGCAAAGACACTTAACATCAGTGTAGCATAACTCACACACTCAGTGGTCCATTATGTGCTATATAAGGACCACTTTTGTCATTCATTTTTATCAGGCTGGTTCAGGAAGTATATGTTTTATGTTATCAGCTCAACAGTGCTGTTCACATGGAGGTGCCATTCCTGTGCCTTCATGCTTTCATATAAATGATGCATATGTAGCTGTTGAGATGCCCTAGGTAATTTCTGTTTGGAAAGCATTATGAACGTGATAGAAATCTTGGTGTACAGCCCAATCATGTGTAGAAACTGCTGAACACAAATGGCATTTACATGTGAAGAGTGCCTGGCAGTGGCATAGCATGTTCACAGGGTGGCTATATTGGAACTACTAGCGTGCCTGCTTTATTTTGAAAACAAGGTTCATAGACCTGAAAAAAGAGGTATCAACATTATTTGGAACATGTTTTGGTATGTTTTGCTGCATTCATCTGAACCAAACATAATTACCAGTTCGTGGATATTATGTGTTCCAAATTTGGCTCTTCTGAATCATGCACATAAATAAACTTTTGTTTTGGGAAAGAGGTCCACTGAACAACCATAACAGTTGAATCCACCAGGAATCGTGAATAAGCATGCAGCCAATGTGATTATTTCCAAACTGGCAAGATTAGCATATTCCCTACTGTATAGCAGGAATTTTTTTTTCTCTATGCTTGAGTAAATGTGAATTCTTTCCTTAATCTTTTCAAAACATAAGAATCTACTTACAATTCCATTATGGGCTTGTCATATCTTTGCCAGTTGAAAAAGCTGTTACTCTGTATGCCCTTGTGCCAGGCTACAGTTTAAGGGGCTTCTGCCTTGTGTTATAAAATAATTTGTCTTGATTTGGATACTGGGCACCTTGAAGTGGTTGTACAGGATTGTTGTCTCATTTGTTATGGCCTTGTAAGACAAACCTGTCATGGGGGAGGAACTGCCAGATTCTGCATACCATAGACCCTCAGGGCTCCAGGAGGCTGAACACTCAGAAGAAGATGGTTCTGTGCCTCGATCAGAGAAGCTGGCTGGACCACCTCCCAGCTCTGGATGGGTCTTCAGCTGTGCAGATATGCAAACATTTGGCTTGGACTGGGAGTTTTGCTAGAGACGGCATCTCTGGTTCCTGATGCGTGTACCCTAACCCTCATGGCTGAACCACTAGCCGTGTATGACATTGTGGATTGACTTGACTAAACTCAGTCTCTCCCTGTTTGTTCTGAGACTGTCGGACTGGCAAGGATTTGAACTGCTTTTGGATTCTGGCTTTGGATCTTCTGCACTTGATTTACTGGACTCTTCAGCAGACCTTTTGTTTGTTAGTTGCTTGGGAGCCAACAGGCATTTGCTGCTTCACTTCAGTCATCAAAATGTCTTGCAACATTCTTCCCAGAACCCTGAGCTGCCACTGCCATTTAGAGTAGATGATGCTGGGCTAAGTAGACAGTCGTCTGGACCAGCCATTCTCAACCATTTTTTATTTTATTTTATTTTGCCATGGCGGTAATCAGAATACTGTATGAAAAAAAATATAGGCCAAATCAGGATTGTATAAGTAATGTAACTAATCTTTTAAGGTAGTATGTGAAGAAGTGTTTCTAGTCTGTTGCCCCCTTCAAATGTGCCAGAGGGGGCCCCCCCAGGGGCCATATGGCCCCTGTTGAGAAGGGGTGGTCTGGACTGATATTAAATAGCTTCCTATGTTTCATCTGAATAAGGGAGTGTGTGTTACTTTCACCTTCAAAATAATCTATTTCACTACACTATTTAGTTTAGTTATTCTGGTGGCACTTGTTCTTGATACCCAAAGTTAATTTCCAAGACTGAGTCCAAGCTCAAATTGTGCCCTGTTTCCTTCCACTTCAGAGTCGCCATGGCAACCGCATCGTCCCAGGTTCTAATTCCTGAAATAAATCTCAATGACACTTTTGACACTTTTGCACTGGATTTTACCAGGGAAAAGAAACTTTTGGAATGTCTTGATTATCTTACAGGTAAGAAAGTAGAATATTTTTTTAAAAAATTGGAATAATCCACTTTAATGTAGATATTTTATGGATAGTTTACTGGATAAAATTAAATTAATGCTGTTCAGCAGATGATCTTTTAAGAAGGCATGTTGCATTCATTATTACACCCTTTTTCAATCAGAGTGGCTCCTCCCNGGCCCCCCCCCCCCCCCCCCCCGGGTCTTGGCATCGCCTTTTCTTCATCTAGTGTAACTTGGCCATGATCTAGTATGACTGTAGACATTCAATCCACTCCTGTAATTATAAACAATGATTATGTAAAAGTAACTTTCAGATTCAGCTACAGTGACATGGCTTTTAGTGGAATATGCATCCATACAGTATATGGATAACATATTTTCAGTCTACTGCTTTCAGTAAGATGTGTTTTATTAGTGCTGAATTTAGCTCTAAGAAAATTAGCTTCCAAAATCTTTGCTAGTGGCCGTAAGGAGTCGTTCAGCTTTGAAGAGGCTGCTTCCCCATCCCAATAGATCTCAAAAATAATATTGCATCTGCGGCATTGTGGGACAGGACCTTGTGGCCACCAAGTGCAGTAACATATATATTAAAGACAAAATAATTCAAGGTATATAGTTTTCGAAAATGCATCTTTGATTGCTTTTACTTCATGCTTGTGAGACTGTAGAAAGCAGTTGGGAGCAACAAATGGGTGAATGGAGTGTAACAGGGCTATCCAACAAATATTAACTGTTGTTTTTGGTTCTTCCCAGCGCCTAACCCTCCAACAATCAGAGAAGAGCTGTGCACCGCTTCTTATGACACCATCACAGTTCACTGGACATCCGATGATGAATTCAGTGTAGTCTCCTATGAGCTTCAGTATACTATCTTTACCGGACAAGCTAATGTAGTTAGTAAGTACAAACCATTCTGAATCCAGCTGTGATTAATTTTGATTTTCAGCAAATGGTTCCCTAATTTAAACAAACAAACCAAAAACTAAAATACCAAAAAGGCAGCAAAATACAAAAAGGAAAGGACCTTTATTTTTATGCTCTACAATTTGCATTAAGAATTAAAGACCATAGTAATGATACACCTAATTTTGGACAGTAAGTTGTTCTACCTGCTATGAGATGTATGAAAAATCTCAGAATTGTATCTTTCAAAGGCTACATGCTAGGCATTGGATGCAAAAAAATGAGCAAAGTAATGCACCAGCGGCTACTTGCTACTTTAAATTTATCACATTAGCTGCTAAAATGTTTAAGTTTTGATATGATGATGATGATTTTACACATACCAAAAATAAAGGAGGAAATTGCAAATTTCCTCAAATTCCCCCCAGTGTTTTGAAAGGAAAAGTAAATGTTAGTAATCAAAACATTTTTAACTCTGTTACACATCATTATTTCTCAAAAAGGACATGGTTGTATCCTTATTATCCCCCTCCCCCATAACACTTTACATCACTACTTGAAATGTGTTACTTCCAGGCTCTGATCCGTAGCTGATGTCAAGACATATCCATTCATTTTCATAGAAATGGTTTACAATCTGCTACAAATGAAAATGCAGTGAATTTAAATTAAATAAATTAAAGTGTAAGGAAGGTGTCACATGGTACCTTGAAGACAAACAAATTGTGACAGAGGTTTTCAAAGGGCACATCGTGTAAAGGGTCAGATCCATGCAATTTTATCAACAGATCAATGATACACTCATCCATTTAAAGAGCAAAGACAAGATATCATCACAAAATAAACCAGAGGCACAGCAGCAATGCATGAGTTATGCACATCATATTGCAAACAGAATATTGTACCATGAAAAGGACATTGAACAAAGACATCCAAGAAGGAAAGGATTTCATAATTCCTGTGCAGGTGCAGGGACTAGATAGTATTTTAAAGGCTAGCAAGTGTACTTGCTGCAAATACAACGTGTCAGAAGATGATGATGAAAATAAAGGACCCTAATTTAAGAAAGAAGAAATTTCTATTGGCCAGAATCCTATTGTCAAACATGATTATGCAAGCAATTCTACCTTTTCAACCATCCATTGCACTCCCCTGTATCTCTTAGTTATATAAACAATTGCACGTCCTGTCTTGTGCCTGGCAGAACAAGGGGCAGCAAGCCAGGGGTGTGGTGACTGTTTGTGTGATTGTCCTTAAGTTGCCTGTTTTGCCCAGGAAGGTTTTTTGCCATTGATTTCTGAGGATCTGAAAGGTGGCATGCTTAAAGAACCACAAGCTCCAGTTTCAAAAGTGTAGGCATTTATCTGTATCATTGCATTTAGCATGTCAATACATCACCATTTATCACTAAATGTACTGGACTGTGACATTACATCTAGTGCTATAATAACATGACATCTAAGGAGTTTAGCAACCGAAATAAACCGAAATTACAGTGGTGCCTCGCTTAACGATGTTAATTGGTTCCAAAAAAATTCCTGCTAAGCGATTTCATCGCTAAGCGAAACGCAGTTCCCCAATTGAAATGCATTGAAACCTATTCAATGCATCTCAATGGGGGGAAAAATACAACAACAAATTTAAAAAGAGTCAGAACAAAGTCAAATTTGGTTAACAAAGGTTTTATTAAGTGCACTTTATGATTTCAAACATTTTAAACAGTAAACTTTAACTTTATAAATAACAGAAAAACATTTAAAAAACAGCAAACATGAGGCTGTTTAAGCCATTGTTAAGCGAAACAGGGGACCGAAAATTTAATCACTATGCGAAGCATGGTCCCAACCATCGCTAAGTGAAAATCGCCCATAAGGACCATCGTTAAACGAAACGTAAAAACGCTCCGAAAAAGTCATTGCTAAGCGATTTTTGTCATTAAATGGAGCAATCGCTAAGCGAAGCACCACTGTATTCAGTTTGACCTTGTCCCCATACTTGCAGGCTTGTCACGCAAATCTGTTTGTTTAATCATGGATCAGGTTTAACTTCCCGGTCTTTACACACTAACACTAGGCATCAATCATATATCATTATGTCAGTTATCATGCTTTACAGTTTCCATTAGTTTAAGTTATTTAATTATTGCTTTTCCACAGTGCCCTGTAGTGATGAGAGTAGATTACTTATTGTTGGTGAAAAGGTTTAGATTCTGATTGTATATTTTTGTATATAGTGAAGGCTTTCTCTGAACCAGTTTATTTCTCAGATGATAAAATGAAGTAGGACTATTCTGATAAGTTGTAAATATTCATATTTACACTGGAAAGCCATTATATTTGGTAGAGGTATTTATTTTGTTTGGAAAATAACTTTATGAGGTTTATAGCCAGATCATCTCATATTGATATTCCTTAGTTTTTCTGCTAGAATCCTATTGGTTTTTTCGTAAGTTTTGTGTAACTTGCCATAGCTAATTGCAGCTAAATGATAAGGGGCTGGAATGCAGTCAGATAGATGCATGGCCAGCCACATGGTAAAACTCCACCACAGCACAAATTATCAGTAACAACTTACACCAAGTCTACATAAATGCTTATAGAATCCTGGCCATTATTTTTTTAAAAAAATGGTGATTACTTAAGAGCACTCATTTTTATTTAGTGATCTGTCTCTGAAATCAGGAGTAGAGTCAAGTCTTTCAGAAGTTTTAAATTTTGCAATTTTTATTCTCAAGTATCTAGATTTAAAGTAAGCCTGTCTCCTACTGGTGGAAAAACTTTAAAGTAATGACTTATCTGGCATTTTTCTTAAGTGATTAAAATTATGCAGACTTGAATACTTATAGTAGTGTGATGTGTAAATTCTAAAATATGAATTTTCAGAGGGGTATTCTGTTGCACCCAAAACAACAGGTAGTCAGTCTTCTAATCTCTTAAAGACCACCAAGTTTTACTTATTGTTTTTGTGGACACGTATCTGAAGACATGTGTGCATTGATGAAAGCTTATGTCTTTAAAATACCAAAAGACCCCTTGTTTCCAAAATATTAAAAGGATATGTCTAAATTATTCCCTGAACCTTCCAGATAACACTTAATTTGCATGAGTAATGTCTAAATGAATGCCTAAATGTTTAAGATGTTAAATATTCTTGAACAGGTCTTGAGCAGCAGGAAATAAATAGGATAAGCTTTTTTAGACACCTGCATCTCATAGCCAAAGAAAGTTAAGAGGAATTAGGGCAAGGCAGATAAAAGGGGTGAAGGATAGTATGGAAGGTTTCTTTGATTAATCACTAACAAACAGGCAGAGCTAAGTGGTAATAAAACTGTGCTTCATTTTCTCTGACCCATTTTCATGCATAGCATTATGCTGACAGAAGGCATACTGTGGGGTAAAGACAGTACGTCAGCTGCAAAGCACTGGAGAGCGGTTTTAGAACAAAGCCTTTGCATTGTGAGAAATACAGTAGAGGATGTTATTCCAGACTTCATGGAATGAAGCTTCATAATGAGTCAGCATGAAACCATCTTGTCTTAATAGTGTAGGGGATGGCAAAAATTAATTGTGTGCCTTGATTTGGATAACCTACTAGCTTCTCATAAGGGACAGCGCAGTGTGAAGTGCTCAGAATATGGAGTTATGAATTGCTTTCAATTTTTATGCAAATTAACTTTAATACAATGGATCATTCAATTACAATTCTGTAATTTGTATTTAAAAGATCTAGCCATTGGCTGTGTTCCAAAGAATGCTATGTGCGAGTGGAACACGCTTCCCCACTTGGAGGGAGGTGGGAAATCTTTGCTTGTTTTCCCTCACCAGCCATATCCCTTCACACCTCATGGTTGCCGCCTCCATTTAGCACATTCTGGGGTCAGGCTGATCTGTTTCTAAAGTATACCTCAGAATGTTGATTTCCTGACATCTCCTTTTCTTCTGCTTACAAACTTTCATTTTAACATGTGAGGACAAAAATGATATATTGAAAAGAGGCTTTTTTGGTGTGTATTGTAGAGATATTGCCATTTCAGTTACAGTAAGTTAAATTGTTTTTTTTAATCAATTGTATGCCATAAACTTGCTTTCCTACATTTTTCCAAAATTGTTATCCTGTTATTTTATGCATATGTCTATGTGTGTACTGTATATACAGTGGTGCCTCGCACAGCGAGGTTAATCTGTTCCAGATTAACCCTCGCTGTGTGAAACATCGCTGTACGGAAGTAAAAAAGCCATTGAAACGCATTAAACTACGTTTAATGCGTTCCAATCGGCACGTTTACTTACCGTACAGCGATGCCGGCAATCATTTTCGCGCCCTCCCCTCGCAGAACGAGGGCGCGAAAATGGCTGCGATCTGCTGTCCGGCGGGTCCAAAATGGCCACCGGAACAGCCGAAAGGGGCCAGGGCGCAGCTTTTTCGCGCCCTTAGTAAGCAAGGGGAGGGCGCGAAAACGCTGCCGGAAGCCCCGAAATGGTTACAAAGGGCGCGAAAACGCTGCGCCCCGGCCCCTTTCGGCTGGTTCGGCAGCCATTTTGAAGCCGCGGAATAGCTGATTGTCGGGTCACAAAGCGAAGGTCGGTAAGAGAGCAGCTTAGTGACCTTCGCTCTGCGATTTCCCACCTATACGGGCACCGTTTTGCAATCGCATTTGCGATCGCAAAAACGGCCTCGTAGATCGAATTCATCGCTCTACGAGGTGCCCGTTCTGCGAGGCACCACTGTAGGTTCATATATACACACATATGCATATTCATATACATATACATACGTGTGTGTGTGTACACGTTGACAGATGAACACACACACACACACAAGTCTTAATAATCCACAGTAGGAAAGTGCAAAGTTCATCCTAAACTGAGAGGGTCATCTGTAGCATCTGCCAATGAATTAATAAGAAAGAATACTGTGTTCAACCAACTGTGTTCAAGTCCTATGCTTTCTTCAATTATTTTCTCTATTCAGTGGACCAAACTGTGATTCAGTTCAGATTCTGGGAGTTAGAAGAGCTGGGTTTTTTAATGACAAGTTTGGATGTCTAATATCCTATGTTTGTTGGAAGGGTCAGTTAAGGAAGTAATGAATTTTGTCCACACAGCAATGATATGCAGGTCAGTATGTAGCCCCTGGCATAAACTCAAGTAGTTGTCACACTTTAGGAAAACAAGTTTATTGCAGTTTGTTGAAAGCATAGATTCCACTGGGCAGTGGGACCTTGCAATAAAAAAAGTTAAGTGGTTGTGAACTCATCAAACAGCACGCTTTGGCAATATAGCTGTTCTTTCCTATTTAACAAGATTTAAGACTCCTTCATTCACAGCCATTTTCCTACACTGAAATTAGAACTGAATACGAAAAATTGCATCCATTAGCCATGCAAAATCATATATGATATAACCATCAAATTTCACCAGTGGCTCAATGTTCAGGAGGCTGGCTAGTCTGGAGAGACTCCTGCCTTTGGGGCCAAGAGACAGGCTCCAATTTTTAACTCCTCCACCACTCCATTTACTAGTTTCATTTCTTCCCTCTTAGAAAATGTATTGCTGTAATTATCTGCTCACACATGGAGCCTCCCTTGACTAGATGGACAAAAGAGCACAGTATGCATGTGGAATACATACATAGAACTCTATCACGTGTAGCTTTGAGAATGGAAAATCAATAAGGATTTGGAGCATGGCCCTTAATTGTGGGCTGGTAATACAACAGCACCCCCACCCCCCAGGCAAGCACTTGAATGTAATTCCATGGAATAATAAATGTGGAAAAGATTATATTTGCCAGACTGGGAAACAGCTTTCTGTGTGGGTTTTGTAAAAAGCTATCACTTGAGGATCTGTCCATTTGGATTTTCCATTCCCATGTAACAGGGAGTATGTGCATTCCCTCTGAGATAACTATTCACATTAATTCTTGTGCAGGAAAAATATTATGGAATAAAAGTTCCATTAATAATTACTCCTACTCCTAAGTACCTCTATGTGTTATAATATATAATGCACCAGATCTTAAATATATTAAAATAATACACTGAAAAAAGGCAAATAAAAAGTATTCATCATACAGCCTTTATTTATTATTTTCCAGCCACATGTGAGTTCTCAGGAGGAAGCGTCATATGCCCTAATAAAAGGATTACTTGATTGTGGATTTTGGACTTTATTCTTTAATATAATTTCCGCATTTTTAGTTTAAATGTTTGAAATGCTCAGGAGATTATATAGCCTTCCTGTGACTTTTGCACTGCTTGTATATTTCATTGTTGTGCTGAAGCAACAGACCCAACAGTAAATGTAACAAGACAGTTCAGTTAGAATATATTTCCCCCATCTGTTTTTTGAACTCTGAACAGTAACAAATCCTAGAGAGAAAAAGAGTTTTATGAATGATTACATCCAGATTATAAAAAGAAAAGAATCCTTCCTCTCTTCCCGTCCCCAGTATCTCACAAACCCTACATGATACCTCATTATGGTCAACACTCCGTTCCAGTAGTCTCTAATTTACATTCCGTTCGTTTTGTAGAATGAAGCCTTTAGAATGTATTATTTGATCATATGTGGGAGCCTTCCATCCTTTAAAACACTAGTTTTTGAAATTTAACCCCAGAATTGACTGGGAAGATTAGTACATCACAACTACTTCTATACTTATGGTTCATGTAACTGAAAGAGATCTAAGGTTTTCTAGGACCAGCCTCACAAGAGCATTACAGATTCCCCAGATGTCAGCCATATCTTACGAAAGGAAATGTGCATTATAGACACAGGCACCAATATTGATATAGATTATAGAGATATGGGAACCAGTACAGTGTAGTGGACAGAGCGTTGAACTTAAGACTCAAGAAACCTGAGAGTTAACACTTCTGCTCAGCTGTGAAAGTGGCACTGTCAAAACCAGTCCTTAAGTTAATTTACATACTTTGAAACCTTTTAACGGATAGTGACTGATAGGAGCCGTAGGTGGGTGTCCTATCTGAGAACAGAGGTGGCAGCAGTGCTGGTCAGGGGCTTGGACAGCTCCATAGGAGGCACTGGAGCACTGTGCTGAAGGCCCACTAAAGCCTGACACCAGCTCTTTTGCTAATTAACTGAAGCATGTACAGCTTGTTCAGACTTTAATTCACAGTGCAAACTCTAAAAGGGTTCTCTCTTGAATCTCCTTCAGATTGTTTGTATCATTCTGCCAGTTTAGCCCCTTTTCTTTCATCTACTAAAGACAGCAAAACCACAAGTTTAAATAGTCTACATGGCATTCCTGCAGAATTTAAGGATCATTTGCAATGAAATCATGCCTAGCAAGGGAAATGTTTGTAACATTTTCCTCTAACTCAAGAGTTTTCCTGTGATCAGGAAGGGAATATTGAGCAGTTGAATCAAAGCAAATTCACTCGCCTAGTGCTCTCTGTTGTGTGTGACACAGATACATTAAAATGGCAATTTGAACTGCCATGCACCATTTAGAACTAACAACCCTGCAAATGTATTTTCTGCTAAAGTTCATGTTATTTTTATACCTGAGTTTGAGGCATAAAGAGCAGTGGCTATCAGTCAGCAGAAAAATCAATGTTCTAGTTGGCCAGGATCATACCATTTGTTAAAAAAAGAGAAAGAACTAATTTTCTTCTAGGTTGTGTAAGGACATTTCCAGGTTCATCTGACTGTTTGGGTGCATCTGATAAATCCCTCCGTAAAGTGACTAATGTCTTTGATTTCGAATACAGGTCTGTGTAATTCAGCCGACAGCTGGATGATTGTTCCAAATATCAAACAAAACCACTACACGGTGCATGGGCTGCAGAGTGGCACCAAGTACATCTTTGTTGTTAAGGCCATTAATCAGGCTGGCAGCCGAAACAGTGACCCTGGAAAGCTGAAGACAAACAGTGAGTAATATTACATCCATCTCACTCTCTATCCATCCATTTCCCTCATCCCAATTCCACTCAGCTTGACACTTGAACAACAACACACTGGCGAAGTGTGGATCTCACATTTGAGCACTGTTCTCAGTTGCACACTTTTTATTTCATATAGCAGGAATGTCTGTTAAGGTACTTCGGCCTGTCAAACCACCAGTATCATTTACAGAAAGTTTATTTGCATTCTCTTTACTGGCAGTTAAACCTATTGAATTCAGTTGAAATTGTAACTGAGCAAACATGTACAAGATGGCAATATTGTTCTGCCTAACAACAGTAGTGCCAGAATGCAGGATAGTAGGACGACAGGGCCAGTTGGTTAAAATTTTATTTAGGTGACCCAAAACTCTAATACAGTTTAAATTAACATTACTAGGTAAAGTTTTTAGTTGTTAAGTTTAAGATTAAATTAAATACTAGGTCATTACTTCTAAAGGAAACCATGGAGGAGTAATCGTGTATGTTACTGTGGTTGACACAGTGATGTTTTGTTATTTATTCTTGGCCCTTTTTGTAATTTAAGTTGCCTTTCTCTTTTTTTAGATGGCTTGGACTACAAATCCCTCAGCTCAGCTGGTGGCTAGGGCTTCTTTTTTTTTTTAAAGTCCTCTTGGAGATTGAGCTGTACAAGCTGAGCTGATTAATCAATTTCCTATCGTTCCCTCTCATCCTTTCATGCATACACATAACCCACATAACCTCTGTCCTCCTACCTCTGCTGCTGCTGTTGCCATGATCCGCTCTCCCATTTCTCCTTATCTGGAAACAGCCATCCTTCCTTAACCCGTGTGGCTGTGGAATCCTGACTCTTTCTATGTCTTAATTAATTGAAATGTTTTTAATCTTAATTTTAACAATTAATTTTAAAGTGGTTAGGATCTTCTTCTAATTGCATTTGGCCCTTGCTGGCGCAAAAGTAAAAATATTAGCCTAACTGGCTGTGAGAAAAGTGTATTTAAAAAATGTAGTTAGTAGGTCACTTCACTAGGGGAAAGGTGGCATAGAATTGAAACAAACACTATAGAGAAGAAAATAAACATGTATGACAAGGAATTCTGAAGCTTACTTTTCTAACTTATATTTACTTCTTTTTTATTTATTCAGATACATGTATCCCATCTTTCTAATACAAACCCTCAAGAAGTTCACAGTCACTAGATTAAAATAAGTTTGTAATTCTTGTGATATAACCACTGAGGAAAAAGAAAAACAGCGGGAAAAACATAGCACGATCATTAAGTCAAGCCCAAAGCTTTTCTGAGAAGCCATGTTTTAGAGAGACATGGAAAATGTTCTTTGTTTAATAGAATCACAGAATAATGGAGTTGTCTTCCTGCACCTGTTCAGTGCAGGAAGCCAAGTTAAAGTAGATCAGACAGATGACTGTATATCCCAGAACTATATGTCCCAGACTTGTTTTGGACAATATATTCTGGAACCCCTTCGCCAGCTTGAGAGTTGTAGTCCATTCCTAGTTTTCGTTGCTTGTTGTGAAAGATAGACAGTCATCTTCAGGGCCCATGCTCTACAGTTTGGCCACTGCAGTGAAAAACACCTTTCCCTTGCTCCCATGTGACTCATTACAAAGTGGACTGAGGAGAATGAGCTGTGCTTCAGATGTCAAACAGAATGTTAGGATAGGCTCATAGTGAAACCATCAATCCTTGAGAAGGTATTTCCTTATGACGGTAAGCCACACTTCAAACAAATATGCAAAATCAAATACCATAGGCATAATTCATAATGAGCAGAGCTATGATGCCAGGAAATAAGTTTTACTGACTCCACTCCCCATGGTAATTCTGGGTGAAAAATGAATGGCTGCTGTTAGGTCTAATGGGAGAAAAATCAAGCCCTGTATGAAATGGCTATAATCCAGTTCCCCTTTTTGAAAGTTCAGCAGGTTTTTAAAATCTTGTTTATCTTGTTCATGTTCAAGGCCAACCATTCAAGCTGGATCCTAAGTCTGCTCACAGAAAGCTGAAAGTGTCTCATGACAATTTGACAGTGGAGCGTGATGAAACCTCTTCTAAAAAGAGCCACACACCTGAACGTTTTACCAGCCAAGGAAGCTATGGAGTAGCTGGCAATGTGTTTATTGACAGTGGGCGTCACTACTGGGAAGTGGTTATCAGTGGAAGTACATGGTAGGTGGGTCGCATCATCCATCAAGACAAGTTTTCCTTCAATTTATGAGGAATTGAATTTAGATTTTTTTCCCCATTTTCTACAATGTCTGATATTTAGCATCTGAAAAACTACTTCTACAAAATAAACTGCAGGATGAATAGTTCAGTCCATGGGCTCATATTTCAATAAGACAAATCTGATAAGGTCAGACCAGATTCTCCTCCAGTTAGGATCAAGGGTGGGAATGGATGGGTAAACAGCAATTTCCAGCAGGTAATTTGTGGAGAGGGCCTACATTTTGTGGCCTAGTCCAGAAACAGAGAACAAAGCAAGGCCTTGTATGATTTTAATCTGCATTATACTTGCTTCTTATTTCTGGAGCCCTATGACACTTCAGAGGTGTGATGATAATGCGAACTACACATTTAATGGTAGTTGCAAAGGATGGTCCACATCTCATCTCTTGTGCTGAACTGTAGGATTTTAAGTCTAACCTATAATTTAGGTGTGGTGAAAAAGTAATGGTTGATTATTCAAAGTGATAAATTTTTACCTAATCCTTGTGAAAATTGAGAATACAATATACACTGGCCTATCCCCATGACTTTGTGAGCAAAGCAAGAAGGTGGTCAGCCATCCATAGTCTCAAAGAAAGAGAATTGGTAATTGCCAATTGAACAAGTATTCTGCTAATAACTATTCTGTTCAGCTTTGTCAAAATACATAGGTCAGATCATATCCACGCTAAGTGTTCAAGCTTAATGACTTGGCACTGTTACAGCACAGACTATCTGGGGCAAGAAGATTTGCATGACCTCTTTCTTACAATGTAAGGGAGAACATTAATTAAATATGTGTTGACATTTCAGTTAGCTGTTAGCTCATGAGAATATGAAAGGCATCAAGAAAAAGAGATGTGCACAGTGCACTGAGCTAAGGTGTAGAAACTTGTGTGACATGAAATATGCATTTTCTTAAAACTCTGTTGTCTTTTAGGTATGCTGTTGGCATTTCTTATAAGTCAGCCCCAAAACATGAGTGGATTGGGAAGAATTCTGCCTCCTGGGTTCTTTGTCGTTGTAATAATACATGGATTGTGAGACACAACAGCAAAGAAATTCCAATTGAGCCTGCACCCCATCTTCGCCGTGTTGGCATTTTGTTGGACTACGACAACGGTTCCTTGGCCTTTTATGACGCTTTGAACTCTCTCCATCTTCACACTTTTGACATTACATTTGCACAGCCTGTGTGCCCGACATTTACTGTTTGGAACAAGTGTCTGACGATAATAACAGGACTTCCTATCCCAGACCACTTAGATTCCATTGAGCAATTGCCGTGATTTTTCCTGAACTGAGATGGATGATGAATGTCCAGTGGAGCACCTATATTCTTCCCACTGAATTATGACTGGTGGGGGGGTGGGATTGTGAACAGAAATACATTTCACACCCACGTGTCCCTAATGCTTCAAGCCAGGACTCAGGATGGGATGGCTTCTTCAGTCTTTCCAGATTATTTCTTTTATTAAAGGCAAGATATGGCTTTAATAATTTCTCAAAATGCTTTTGTATTTAGTCTCTTTCAGGAAAATTTATAAATTATTTATAAAAAAAAAAATAAGAAGGAACCCTGGATTGGATATTTGCATTTGGGCACCTCATTAGAACAACTTGGTTTTGCACATTAAGGGCTCTTATCACAAAGCTTTTATTAGTGATTTCTCATATTTTGATTTTATAATAAGAAAAAACAAGTTGGAATTATTTGAGAGGCGTATTCAATACTAATTTTTGGAGCTTTGTTTATAGGGTGTTGTGTTGTGTGTTTTTTTTTTTTTACATGCCACTTGTACTACATAAAGCCACCCGTTCAGCTTGGAGCACATTAACATATACAGTACTTTAGGAAATATCCATGTCTCATTCAGCTGGCAATCAATATTACTGACAGCAGTTTTCTTATCTACTGATACTTCATCTTCGTCACTTATAAAGATATGTACATTTTAATTTTGTCTCAGAAAACCAGCAGTACTGGAACAGAACATGTCTGAGCTATAAGTAAAAGTGCCACAGAGGTCAACTGATAGTCAAGATGTAGTGGTATCGATGTGAATACACATCATTTATAAGGTACACAGAGCACCCACATATGCAGTACTAGAGTTGGGCAACGTACAACTGATTTTAAACTTAAATGTGAGCATTTTGTTATATTCTCTTATAGTGTATCAATAAAAATAGTGCAGGTATCTGTTTGGTAAACAGTGCCTGGAAAGAGGCTGCACTTCAGTGTGTCATTGTATTTGAAGCTTCAGATTCACGGCTTGGACTACATCTATGTAAATTCAATTATATACAAATATCACCACAGATATACATGGTTATATTTATATTGTGACATCTGTGAAACTGATGAGAGGAGAGTGAATGACTAAAATGATTTATGATTCATACTGGGGGGAAAGTGCTAATCATCTTGTCGTACTTTAAATAATACATACGTATGATTCTTGAAGTTTTCACAATTGTGATCCAGATCAACAAATGTGTGCAGTGTTATCCTAAGGTACAAATGTGTATGTGCTCTGTGTGTATGTAGGCATGGATGAATGGATGGACAGATGGATAGATGGGAAAAATTACAAACAGAGGGAAAATAAAAATGAAAAAATATACAGAGAAAGACTTAAGTGACCATTCATCAAACTATGAATCAATTTTTAAAAAGCTTTACTCCCATTCAAGACACAGAAGTGCCAAAAGTAAATGGTAGAATGTCCCGAGAGATTCAGTGTCCAGCCCTCTTGCTAGGGGTGGCGCTCACTCTACCTAAAGCTTTGGGTAGAGTGGGTGGCATAGGAGTTAAATAAATAAATATTGTTGTTAAAATACTCTCATTTCTACTATGCCCAGTTATCCCTTTGCGTAGAATCTGACCTGTTTGGCTAGGTCATTTATAGCATTCTATACACTGGACAGATGTATGAAGTCCTCATGTCATGGAGGGCATGGCTCTGTCCTGCTGTTACACAGGACCAAATGCACAAAGTTTGCATCTGTGTCTGGCTTCAGGGTCTATCTCACTGTTATATAGTCTGTTGCTGATGATGAATCATTCTTTGTGACCAAAATATCCATGCTGTAGGATTTTTATATTTTGGCACTTAAGCATAAGTCAAATAGGTGAGTCAGCCATCTTTGTGAATCTTACACTTCCTGTATCTGTGGGTATTACACAAATGGACTAGTCACAAACATAGAATCTTGATTCACATCCTTTGCCTTTATTTATTAATCTAAAACTGGTAGAGGGGAAGCAAACATCTAATTACAATATAGTGCTTCAACTACAAAGCTCACGTGTTCTTATAGGTCCCAAACCAAGGCAAGACAGGGCTCTTTAAAAGAAACTGGTATCCAGATGGCAATGTTCAGCAGGGATGGGAGGGGATCTAGTTCATCCTCCAGAACAGGGCTTTTTAAAATGGATTGGACACACAATACAATCGTTCTGATTGTACTGTGGTGGAGAATCATGCATACAAAAGTATTCATCCATTCAAGAAATGGAATGTACACCTGAGAAAAAGGCATACAGTATTTCAATTGCTCTGTGACAGTTGAATCCAGATGATGGACTTAAATTCAGGGTGGTGGACAGCAGATTAAGCATTTTTAAGCTGGAATATTAAATGCATTTACCACAGGTAAAACCCATTGAATACAATGAGTGTACTGGGTAAAAGATGCAATGCAACTACTCTTTAGAACATCACTTTAAATTGATTTGCTAAGATTTTACAGTATTTTATAAACTCTACCAAACAAGGCAGTCTGTCTATGTCAGAAACAGAGACGGATGCAATTTTCTCATTGTCATCACCAAACTGCCTTCTTTGTAATGTTGCAATATTCTTAGGTAATTGCCCTCCTGTGCTTAACAGAGCAGCCTGAGATGTACTCACGGAAAAACTGCTGTGGGGCTGCAAAGCTGAAATTTAACACCGTCTGGCTACCCCAATCAGCCTGGGAGTTGACCAACTACTATTAGCTGCTCTCCCTTCATCCCCAAAAGACCATCAAAACAGGCAGCTGACCATTCTGGCCCTATACACACTGGCCACAGTGGCAGTAGCTTGCTTCACCCATCAGGTTAGAAAGTGCAATAAGAGTTTTGTAAGTGGACGTGTGCCTAGGTTTCCTTCTTTTTCTTCTTTTTGTCCTTCCTGCATCTGTTCCTCTTTTCGCCTTTTTGTTGCCCTTTTGAGCTGGTAAACCTGAATGCAGGGACACTTTCAGTGTTCGTTGTGATCTCCTCTTCCTCCTCCTCCTCCTCTTCTTGGTGGAAGGAGGGGATAGAAAACTTCATATACATAATGAAACTTGAACAGGAGGTATTAGGCCTGTGTCAGGCTTTCTGCCTCTGTAAATCCTGCCTCACTGGAAAATATAAAAAGTGTCTCACTTCTAAGACACAAATAGTTACTTTTGGCACTCTGATTTGCAGAATCCCCCAACAGGGATCCTAGAAGTTGTCCAAAATAGTAACTTTCCCATGTAATTCTCGCCATTCCTATTTATTTTTATTGAGATACGTTTTTGCAGAGAAGTGAACATAATGTTTCCAAGGATTTCTATTTTCTCTTCTGGCTCACTTAAAACTTCACCTTCCCTTCACCCCACTCCTGTTGTCACAACTTGGCAACAGTCTCTGAACCAACTTGTTCAAATGAACTGACACCAAGTAGGATGGCTGTGGTATTCATTTTTGCAGACTGATCTGCTCATGCTAATCCCACTCCTTCCCAAGCCTGTTGTTAAGACGAGCAAAACCCTATGCTGTTTCTGCTCTCACTGTATATGAGTCACCCGTTGCTTTTGAGAACTAGGTATATGACTGCTAAATCAATATGTCCAAAGCCCAACAAATACTCCATATAGGCAGGACTGCCTGTGAGACAAACACAGTAAGCACGCTCAGATTTCTAAGCAGGTATGTTTAGGTTGTCTGAGTTCTTCAGCTGTCATTTGCAGAAGCGCAGAGGGCTGTAAATGTGACCAACCATTTATCCACCCTCCCTAATCTCCCCCGAAGGGATCATTTTAATATGCTTCAGGAATGTCTTTCAGCTCTCTGCTCCTGTCATGGGAATGACAGGACTATTCATAAAAATGTCCAGAGTACGTGAGAGAATGAGTACTTTATAAGAGAGCAAAGGGGGGGTGAAATGCTGTGAAAGACAACTCCCCATTATATGGCAGGTGGAAACTTGTAGTGTCCCAGCGCTTTCGGTGTCCCTTCTCCTGCCCCCATTCCTCCTTGTCATAAGCAAGCCTGTACAGATGAATTCGTCTGTTGCTTTTTTCCCTGAGCCTACTCTGCATTCCTAAATCAACCTGTTTGAAACCCTAAACCAAACAGAATCAGTGGGGTAAGAATGTTGTTCCCCTAGGGCCTGAGTTCCATCTTGGCTCAACTTAGTGCTACAGCCACCCTGCTTCAAAAAAACGAGTCTTTGATTCACATGGTGGTAAGTCAAGAAGGGGCCCACAAGTAATTGCTTGTTCCTCCTGGCATTCCAAAGGGATCAAGAATCCAGCTGAAGACAAATGCCACAAACATGGAAACCAACCTTCTTCTCCAAATGGCATCTGGCTACCAGGGGTTGACTTATTAAGATCTTGTTGGGGGCCAGTTCTGGCTGGACGCTGATGGGCAGTCATAAATAATTTTAATATCAAAGGGAGGGAAGAAGGAAGGACCAAACGAGCTGTAGCCAGCATTTCTGTCCATGCTATCTGTTTGGGAACTAGCAGTCGTATTGGAGAGAATGACACAGGCCATCTAAGCCAAGTGGGCAGGCATGCAGGATCTCCTTGGAGTTGTTTGTTTGTATGTATATTGATGTTTTTTACTAGAAACATCCAGAGACTGGAGCTAGGCCCAGAAGAGTAATATAGGCAGACAAGACACTGGGTAAGAATTAAGAGATAGGTTACCTCCTGACCACATGGTCAGCTCAGGAATATATGACCAGTTCTGCAATTGAGCTCATTACAAAAACCATCTCCTGTTCCCTATACCCAGCAATCTGTTTCAGCACCCTAATTTCACAAGGAAACATTTTTCATTTACTACTATTGTTTGACAACTGAGACCCACTGCTGATCTACTGCAGGTTATTTTTGAGATCTGCTAGTAAATCCTTGCAAACCTTCTGTTCACCCATTTCCTCTCACATACAGAGCTTCAATACCTTACACTGGGAGGAGGCAGCTTCAGCAGGTTTGGGGGCTGAATTTCATCTGCCACTGGCTGCACCAGGCTTCCAAAATGGCAAAACTTAGGTGGTGGGGGGGGAGAAGAATAGTCCAAAATTAGAGTGGGTAGAGTGGACCCAAAACTTAAATTGCCCAGATGATCATATTTGGTTTTAGTTTCAAGGTCTGTGGCCCTGGGCTCCCTTCCAACTAACCTACTGCAGAAAGAGCTACTCCTTGAGGCCTCCAAGAGAAAAACTTGTATGTTGTTACAGAATGTTTTTCTTATACTGGGGCACACAGGGGTACCAAAGGCTCTTGAAGGCTGTGATGGCCCAGAGATTGCAGTTTGCCAAACCCATGCTGTAGAAGGAATTCCCCTCACCCCTTTGGTTGGAGAGAACCAATCCCCATCCTAGCATACAAAAAAGGTAACGGTGTTCCTCTGCCCAACACATGGATATAGGGAAAAGGAAAAAAAGACAGCTGGGAAGTTAATTAAGTTAATTAAAAGATGCACATAGTTCTTTTTCTCAGTGTCCTCCAAAAAGGAGAGAGAAATTGTGTTCCTAACTTTGAAAGGCAATTGATTTCCATTATGAAGATCTTCCAAATGGACATAACTTTGCCTTAGCCATGAAAATGTTAGTTTCTCTCTTCCTAGGACTGGGGGGGGGGGCAGAGCTTCCTTCAGAAATCCATACCTGCCATGGAGAAATCTGCACATTTTCAAGGTGTGTAAAGTGATTTAGTAAAGAAGTTCACAGAAGTCTGTGTCTATTCAAACATTTTACATTGAAAGTAATTTTACCAGTCTCTGCTTCCTAAAAAATATGCATCTATCAAATTCCTATGGATATTTACTAAGTTGTAAACCATATTTAACTTCAAAGCATCTGTTCAAAGGACTCTACTAAAGTGATTCAAGAAAAAAACATGTACACAGAACCATGCATATGCTGAAAAATATGCACAGGCTAAAAAACATATTTAAAAAATGTGGGCAAACGGCGATTG